AATGAAGACTCTGCTTACATATTTCATGGAGAAATGAAGTATCAGCCTAAGGTTTGTAAATACTTTAAGATCCTCAAATTCCAAAAGAGTGCTTAGTAGAAACACAAACTGTTAAGAGTTGTCACATCATAACCTCCTTCTGCACTGGACGTTGGCAGCTATTTGATAAAAGGCTTGTCACACACGCTCACTAATGGAATAATCTCTGATCCCCGCTGGTCCAGGGGCAGCATTATTGAGCAAGTAGTGCATGAGAAACATGATGAATCTGATTTTCCTTCAGCTGTTTTTACTTTTGAATTTCTCTGGCCTCAAACAATGTCAGAGGGTCAGGCAGGCACCGCATTGCCTACAGAGAGATAATGACTACTATAGTCATAGATTACGGTATTATTAGTTTTACATTTCTAAACAGTGTCAGAAGATATCAGGCATCTCTGGAACCTTTGACCTAAACTCTGAGACACCGCTTACAGCATCGAATAGTATTTCTCAGAAAAATAAAAAATAATAATAAAAAAAAAATCTTCTTAAAAGAGCCAAAAATGCTTTTCAGTCATGTGGGTTACAAGGCACTGTTTTGCATCCCATTTTCTGAATCAAGTGGCTTAGCACAGATAAACTATAGTGCTACAAACAGTTTAAGCTATCAGAAGCTGGCACTGATGCTGAAAGAAGCAATTCACCCTGTCTCATCTCCAGGCACTCTGACCCTCTCCTGCACCAGCCTACATATTCATGTGGCTGAGCAGTGAACCGGATCAAGAATCCAGGTTAAAACAAGCCTGAAACCTATAAAATGATTAATTTTAGCCCTCTCGGTTTAATGAACTCAAGCTATCTGTGGAACTAAAGCATGAGAAATCAAAACTGTGCTGATCAACTGTACTTAAAAGGAAAACGTAAAAGCAGACTTAGCACAGATAAAGGAAAAAGCCAATATATGAAGTCTTGTTTCCTTACTAATTCACAGAGTGCATACTGCAGAGGATACTGTGTATTCTTCAAGAGCTAGAAGGTTTTCACACCACCTGGTATTGGACTGGTAATTAAAGACCATCTGGGTCTCAAAGTTCCCTCTGCTCAGTGCAAGGAGAGGCAGGCACTGCCCATCAAATGCCAGATCGTAACTTAAACGCCATGGGAGGGATTTAGCTCACCCAGCTTTAAGCACCTACGCCTCAGCCAGTCACTCCGTCCTCTTCAAATACTCAAATGACCATCATCAGCACTTTGGGGACACAAAGCACTTCAACCAGGCGACCTAAATTCAGACAAGGACTTCAGAGGGAGATGGATCTTGCTGTAGAAGTACTTTTTTCTCTCCATTAATAGAATCTCTATGATGTAGGCATGGACTTACAAATGCAAGCATTTGTCAGGTGAAACTTTGCTGTTTATCTCTCAGGGACCTGATTTCCTCACCACCTTGGGCTCTTTTTGGAGAGCAGGAAGGAGGGGAGACATGACGTGACACGTCATTGCCCTAAAACCATGACTTTCACTATTATTCTGTCAAAATGTTGTAACAAGTGTGAGTCATCTTTGAAAGGCATATAAACAGAATACCTACTGTAACACAAGTTTGCCAAAGAAACCAAAGGCCCTTTTAAGCTGTCAGCCTTGGTTGGTACCCATGAAAAGTTGCAGCTAACATCACTGCCTTGTATTGGGAATTGAACAGCTGTGCCCAGCTTAATTGTCTGCCTATTCTTCCTGAATTACAGCATGCCTGCTATTTCTAACATTGGTCTTCTCCACTGTATTTGCTAATCTCAATAAGTTATGGAGTATTTGGTTCCCTAAATGCCTGGGTACATGAGCTCCTGGGGAGTGGAGACAGATAAGCTCTTTTTGACCTCCTGTCTCATAAAAAATTGGAAGAGAATTAAAACTAGCTCACCAAAATACAATGGGTCTGATTCATCTCTGTGTTACTCCCAAGTTACGTATTACACCACTTGGAAAACAGGAGTTAAACAGATGCAACCTGGATGTGACACAGAAGGAATTAGGCCTTTTGTCATCTGGATCCATCCTCTTTACTGTAATAAAAGTAACTTTCACATAGCCTTTTCAAAAAAAATATGGAAAAGGTCTGTATCTTAAGGAACAAGCAGTGAAAATCAGGGTATTGGAGAGACATGACAGACTCCTGCAGACTGCATGTCTGGAGCTTGACATGGCACAGTTTGCATTGGCCTGAAATATAGCACATACATCAAAAGCAGCACTTTGAAGGAAGTAAAAATTATCTACTCTCCTGAATGAAATATGCAAACACCCAGTTTCAACATTTATCCCTAATTTAAAGCACTGGCCAGTTCAAACAACAGCCCAGGAATTTCTAAAGAAATTCCTCTAGTAGGTTTCTAGACTATCTAGCCTAGTGTCCCCAGCAACAGTAGTACTTTCTGCATTACACTGCCGTTACTACAGTAACATTTGATACTACAAATGTTTGATACAATAAATGGACCGTACTGATGAAGATTCATGGACTTGATATTTATTGTACTAGTATTTCCTGAATTTCAACAAAAAGAGAAATGTAGACTTCAGAAAAGAAAAAAAAAAAACCAAAATTACTTTATCTGCCTCCTCTCCTACACACTTCTAGACAAACAACAGTATTACCGCAACACTGCCTCAAAAATATTTACATAGCACTAGTGGGAAGGCAGTTAAGCAATGATACTTGAACATGCCGGAACATTTGGCTGAGGTAAAAAACAAATAAAGTTGGCAAGTATCTTACTTTTTACTGAATTCTACTATCTATTCCAACTAGAACAAGCGACAAATCAGAACAAATGTTTGTGCTTTTGCTGAAATGGAAAACAGCTACAGCTACTTATTTTCTAAGGAAAGGAAATAGCTGGTGCGAAGACAATACTGTTTTCAATTAGTAAGCAAGTGGAGCCCACCTTCAAATTTCCATTTCTGTGAACAAGAGTAGGCCCATTTAATGAAATACAGAATTTGTATGGTGGCACGCATATCATTCTTTGGTAGATGAACAGTATGACAGTTTTAAAGATACCTTTAATACAACAGATTTTGC